TACCACACTTTCCAAGGGGATCGGTCACCTCTGAAGAGCAGCTGAGCAGACGCTTCTCCATCGTGCAGCCCCCATGGAGGGGATCGGTCATCTCTGAAGAGCAGCTGAGCGGAGGCTTCTCCATCGTGCAGCCCCCACGTCAGGTGGAAAAGCCGTGTCTAGGGAAGCGTGGGCTGTGGCTCGCGGCTGGTGGGCTCCATCCAGGCAGGCACAGGCCACGGGGCTGGGGATCTGGGAGCTTCCTCGGAGCCTCCCAGTGTCGCCATGCGAAGCTCGGCGGTGGCTCAGTCCCTGGTTCTGACGGGGCGCTTCTGTGTTCAGGATGCAGAGGGTTCCACGTGCTTGCACCTGGCAGCCAAGAAAGGTCATTACGACGTGGTGCAGTATCTCCTGTCCAACGAACAAACGGATGTCAACTGCCAGGTAGGGCCCTGCGCGTCTCTTCCAAGTCCTGAGAAAGGAAAAGCCTTGTTATAAGCCCATGCCCCTAATGGGCGCATGCCGAGAACCCCCTCCTTCCTTTGGCGGTCCCACGGGGTCCCGTCCACCCCGTCTGGGTCCCGCAGCCCCTGCTCTCCCTTGCAGAGTTTTGCGTTTCTGGGGAAATTCCGTGTGCTGTGCAGAAAAAGTACAGAGACTCGCAGAGGAGAACTGGGTTCAGGTTCCCCAAATATAATCCAGCCCTTTCTCATTAACTGGCACTTAAGGTCTCAGTCCCTTACTCTGATACATTTGTATAGGAGAGAAGAAAAACACTTGATCACTTACAGTTGGGCAATAGGGTCAACATCCAACAAAGCCTTGTTGCTTTGACCTTGGTTTTTGCTGTTGATTTTCTTTACCATTTTTAGTGTGACATTGGTTCTTTTCAAATATTTGTACACTTATTGTTTTTTAAAAATATTATCTTTCCATGATGCCAGTTGCCTTGGGTCCTCTTTAAGGAGAAAAGTAGGGGGAAATATTTAAAATAAACAAGTGAAGCAGAGGGTGATGGTCAGTACCTACTTTGAGGGGGTGAAAACAGAGTCCGAGAGGGGGGAGGCTTGCCCTTTTGCCTTGATTTAGGAGGGGCTGGATGTCCCACGGCTAGAAACGGGACGCCCAGGGCCCGGACGAGCCTCTGGGGGGTCTGGTCCTCCCACTGTTCCTCTTGCGCCCTCAGGACGACGGAGGCTGGACGCCGATGATCTGGGCTACCGAGTACAAGCACGTAGAGCTGGTGAAGCTGCTGCTGGCCAAGGGGTCGGACATCAACATCCGGGACAACGTAAGCCGGCCCTTTGGAGGGAGGGCTTGGGAGCCGCCCGTTCAGGGGGACTTTGAGCACCTCACTCTTAGTCACTGCCGACTTGAGGGCACAGAAGACGGACACACCGCAATTAAGGGTCTAGGGTGTGTGTGTGATTAAAAGAATCGAGCCTCATCATCTTTGAATGGGTGGGGGAAGGGAACCGAAGGAAGCCGTTCCCCCCAGCTCCTCAGGGCGTGAAATGCAGACCTGTCGGTTGGACAGATCCGATTACACTTGTGCAAGTGGGTTAATGGGTAAGAACCGCGTTCTCCTCCAAGGGATCCAACAAAAGGTGTTCAACTGGAAGGAAGACCCGTCATATTTGTCCCCTTCGTCTTTTGGACAAAGGCAGCCGGTCCGTGGGAACAAGCGGTCCCAGTTCATGCCCGTTTGGATTTTTGTTCTGTCTTTTCTGTCCCTTTCTTTTCTCCGCCACCCTCAGGAAATCCCTAGGCTAGGGACCCTCAGCCAAGGGCCCTCACGTCTTCCTGGACGATGGGTCTCAGAAATCCTGGCTAGCACCGTGAGGGGGAAAGACCTTTGGGAGTTGTAGTCCAAGAGCATATGTGGGGGGGCTTTGCTTTGGAGATGAGGGAACTGGGAGTTGTAGTCCAAGAGCATATGGGGGGGGGGCCCTCTGCTTTGGAGATGAGGGAGAGCATAGAAAGGATTTAAGAAGAGAGAGAAGGGAGGGCATGTAAATAACATTAAAAAAAACAGAGCTCTGGGGGGGGGCCCTACCCTTGGATAATCTTTGCCCACCCTTGTGCCGCTGAAGAGCATCTTCTGGATCTCATGGAGATTCAGGCCTGGGTGGATCCAACTGGTGGCTCTGAAGCGCATGTGGAGAAGCTTGGTCTGCCTGGGCATTGGGGGCCCAACCGCGTCTCCTTCCTCCTCCCACCCCCGCCCCAGAAAGACCACTTGCCACCATAGCCCTCCCCCCAGTCTTTGGGAGATGATTCAGAAGGCACTTCCTCTGGGGTTATGGGAGAATCCTTTTTTTTCTCCCAGGGTGATCGCTCAGCAGCTGCCCCCTTGCCTCCCATTGGGGGCTGAGCCAGACGTGGTCCAGGGAGGGGCGCCTGGCCCCTCCCTCCCTGCCCTTCCTCCCCAGAGGGGCGCCCGCTTTGAGTTCCCCTTCTGGGCATCGGTTTGGAAAGAGGCGTCAGGCAGTTTGAAGACCTCCTCGGTCTTCATGTCAGCAGGCTCTCTCCCAACGGACTCGGTCCCTGTCAGGGCATGGCTACGAACAAACGGCGCCTCTGTCCGTATGAGGTGAGGGGGGCAGCCCTCGTTCACAGCCCACCCTCAGCCCCAGCCCCGCAGGGAGCACCGAGGCGGCCAGCCGGCTGGCAGAGTGATCTGGAGAAGGCATCCCCCGTGTTTCCTTCAGGAGGGGAGGGCTAGCAGGCACAGGAGTCCCTGCCGCTTGCGGGCCTGCGTGTGCTCAGTCACCGTGGTTTCATTTTCTCCTGTGTTCCTTTCTCCTCGCTCTTCCTCGTCTGCGACCGCCCTCCCTCCCTTTCAGGAGGAGAACATTTGCTTACACTGGGCCGCCTTCTCGGGGTGCGTGGACATCGCCGAGATTTTGCTGGCAGCCAAGTGTGACCTGCATGCGGTGAACATCCACGGAGATTCGCCTTTGCACATCGCAGCCCGAGAGAACCGCTACGAATGTGTGGTGTAAGTATGGCTCCTGCAGGCGCATGTGTGGTGTAAGTATGGCTCCTGCAGGCACCCGCCCTGCCCTGCCCTGCAAGGGGGGAAATACGGTGCTTTCACAGTACCCTTAGAGATAAAAGAGGCCTTCCATTTAAAGTCCTCCAAACAGCGTTTCTGTTGCTTTGACTTTCTTTTCTGTGAAAATCTTTGGCACGGAGGCAGTCCGTTTCTCATTTCTTGAAGAGGTTCCGGTGGTTGACAGCGCCGTCTCTGGTGCTGGCCTGGAGCCTTTGCCCCATAACCTGGGTGGGAGGTTAGGGAGACGCATCAAAAACAAGGCTGTCAGAAGCTACGGACACACACACACCCCGAGCGCCTGCTTTGCCTCCAGGGCTTCATGTGATTTCCCTTATGCGAGGGCAAATTGCCAGTTAGGACTCTGGTCGTATCTTTTCAAAATCACTCTTCCTTTTCCCAGAAATCGCAACAGAATGAATAGGTGTTTCTGATTAGTCCTGGTGTGCCGTCAAGCCAATTCCAACTTACGATGACTCTTTTCCAGGCAAAGAGTACTTCGTTCTGGCTTCCCCTTCCCTCCTTCTGGGGGCCTCCTTGGGACCCCCGTGCAGCTTTTGCCCACGGCCACCCAGGCTGGCTCTTCTCGCAGGAGGCCCCCATGGGGCTGGGGGGTAGGAATCGAAATCCCAACCTGTGGCTCCACAGCCAGAGACCCAACCCCTGAGCTCTCCAGCCAGCTAGGAGCTTCTTAGTTACTTCTGAAAACATACCTGAGCACCACAAGCCGCTCACCTGTAGCACAAACATTCACACTCATTTGCATCACTCCCAAGGGACACAAGGCGCAGCGCACGGGCAGTCGTTCGAAGCCTGGCGGGATGTTCCTCCTTTCCCAGTTCATGATGCCACACCCAGGAACTACGAAACTAGCTGAACCGTTGAGGTTATAAGAGTGTGAGGCTGCCCTTCGTCCCGCCAGCGTGCCATCCCTTCGTTTTGCCTCTCTTGTTCAGGGAGGAGGTGAAGCTTCTAAACCCCCCCCCCCATTTCTTCTGCTCCGAATGCCCGCAGTCTTGTCTCTGCCGGTGCCCTTTTTGCTGGAGCTCTTTGGAGACCGAGCCTGGGCGTCCTCGGCAGGCAAACCCTCTCGGGCTCTGCCCAAGAGGCCTCAGAGGGAAAAGAGTCGCCGGCTGGAGGCCACGGTGGCTTGACTCCTCTGCCTTCTTCCTCTCTGGCAGCCTCTTCCTCTCCCGCGGCTCAGATGTCGCCCTGAAAAACAAGGAAGGGGAGACCCCCCTCCAGTGCTCCAGCCTCAACTCGCAAGTTTGGGTCGCGCTGCAGATGAACAAGACCCTCAAGGAATCATCTCCCGAGAAACCCGTGCCGCTGGAGAAGGTCCTGAGCAGGTGCGTTAGCCTGTCCCCCACCCCACCCCACCGGCCCTGAGCCACCCTGGCTTGTCCGAGCGGACCTTCCTCTCCCCTCTGCCCCGTCCCATCCTCATGTCTTCTGGAGAACCTCACCGGAAGAGGTGTCAGGAGCCTGGTGGCCCAGGGGTTCAAGGTCAGTACTGCAGCTAAGACTCAACTCACAGCCTGACTTTGATCCCATTCGCCTCAGGTAGCCGGCTCAAGGCGGACTCTCGCTTTTCGTCTTCCCAAGGTTGGGAAGAATAAACTGAGTACAGTGGTGCCTTGCTTAGCGATGTTAATCGGTGCAGCAAAAATCGCCGCTAACCGGAAAAAAAAAATCACTAAGCGATTTTTAAAAGCCCATAGGAATGCATTGAAACCCCTTCAATGCGTTCCTATGGGCAAAAAACTCACCTTTAAGTGAAAATCCTCCATACGGCGGCCATTTCCGCTGCCCGGTATGCGAGGAATCCGTCCCAAAACACAGCGGGCGGCCATGTTTTTTTTCCGGCGGCCATTTTGGAACCGCCAATCAGGTGTAGGAAAAAGATCGCTATGCGATAATCGGTAAGCAAAACAGCTTGCCGATCATCGCAAAGCGATTTTTTCCTATTTAAAACATCGCAATGCGATTGCTTTTTCGATCGCAAATTCTTCGTTGCTAAGCGGTTTTGTCGTTAAGTGAGGCACCACTGTACAGAGACCTGGCCATCGAAACATCTCCCTTGTGGATGAAACATCTTTCAGTGGTCCCCATTGTCATGGGGCTTTGAGGAAAATATTAAGAAATTTGACACAGTATTATAAATAGTTGAAGATTCTAAAAACATCATCAGAACTACCAAAAAATGGAAATATTAGGAACATCATAGCCTGTTCTGTTGTTGTTGTTGTTGTTGTTGTTGTTAAAATTATTAAACCTTGACTTTCTCTTTAAAAAGGAGCTGAGGTAGCTTACATGCTATAAACACAATATTAAAAGCTAGAAATAAGAAATAATTCACATATTAAAGATTTAATAACAATATGTTAAAAATGTACGGTAAACAGATTATGAAAAACAGATTTAGAAGCAACCAAAGAGATGTTGTTGTTGTTGTTGTTGTTAAAATTATTAAACCTTGACTTTCTCTTTAAAAAGGAGCTGAGGTAGCTTACATGCTATAAACACAATATTAAAAGCTAGAAATAAGAAATAATTCACATATTAAAGATTTAATAACAATATGTTAAAAATGTACGGTAAACAGATTATGAAAAACAGATTTAGAAGCAACCAAAGAGAAACCATCCTGCTTATTATCTCCCCGACAGTCAGTCACTAAGAAGGAGCCTGCATGACTTGTTGGAAAAGGCATCTCTTTCTCTCTCTCTCTCTCTCTCTCTCTGTGTGTATGTGTACGTGTACTGCTGCTCAAGCAGTCTTACGTCAATATCGATGTTGATAATTTTGTCCTCCCTGCTGTGACAGAGACATCGCCCGGGGTTACGAGCGGATCCCGATCCCGTGCGTCAATTCCGTGGACGGCGAGCCTTGTCCCGGCAACTACAAGTACATTTCCCAGAACTGCGTGACGTCGCCAATGCATATTGACCGAAACATCACTCATCTGCAGGTGAAGGAGTCCTGTCACCTCCGGCTCGGCTTCCCTTCCTCTCCTCCGCTGCCTTCTCAGGGCGGAGGGAAGGCGTCCTCCACGGACACCCATGTGCTCGGGTGGAGGATAGGCGGGTGTGGGAAGGCGGGATGTCGTCGGCCTGAGGCACCCTCTTCCTTGAGGGTGGTAGGGCGGTAAACATGGCGTGCTTTTCTGTTTAATTTTGAATTTTGAGGTGTTGGGAGCTGTAGTTTGCTTTAAAAGGGAAACAGCAGTCCTGGAGTTGTGGCTTTTCAGTGTGGGAAGGTTCCCCCGCCCCCCAAATGACCCTGGGAACTAATATGGCCCAGCCCTGTGTTGGGTAGGGATGCCCTCCGAGTTTAACTTAGGGATTCAGATCTCCTCCAGAGAAAGTTATTACTATTAATAGTAAACTTACATTAATGATAATAATAAACTTAGAACAGCAGAACTGGAAGGGGACCTTATGGGTCATCTAGTCCATCCCCTGTCAAAAGAGGGCAAGGGGGGGAATCGAACTCCCAATGTTTTGGCCTTCTGCCTACAGTCATGGTAAAAGGTCGTGGATTCGATCTTACGATTGCTGGTCTTCTGACCCTGCAGCACACAAAGGCTTCTGCGGTTTAGCCCACAGCGCCACCACGTCATGGAGCCACACACACAAAAGGAATTAAAAACCAGACCAAAGGCTTCCTGTGCCATAATGAAAACAGAAATGAAATGCCTGAAATGTCTGAAGTACAGGAAGTGCCGGGATCCCTTCGGTGTGAAACTGACGCTTGTTACACCTCAAAGTTGAGCTCTTGCGGGAGGGCGTCAGCGGCTAGCCACGTCTCGTGGCTCCATGGTCCTGCCCCCTTGGAGCCCCCTAACCCCACGGTCGGTCTTGGGAGGCCTGTCGGGTTTGGAATCGCCTTGGCGGAGAGAGTCTCGGGTGGGAGTTCCTGGATGCGTCCTTGCTTTTGCGAGACTTTTTTCCCCTAAGAGGAGAGGGCTTTCCGCTCGCGGCGTTGGATTGCCCTGCCAGGGTTCTGCATCTGCTGAGGGGGACCCCCGCCAGCTCCTTGGAAGCCGCCTTTTGTGCCAAAATCAGGAGCTGTTGAAGGCTTGGGAGCCTGTCCCTCGCCCGAGACCCTTTTCGCCACAGGACTGACCCCTCTTCTATAGCAATCATCCTGTCCTCCATCTTGTTTCAGTGTACGATGGGATGTTTTCATCTCTCACCTGATGAGGTTCCTTTTGCGTTTCTGATTAAATCCCTCCAGCTGCACAGCAGAAGTGCAGGGATTCACACAGAATAGCAGAATAGCTTTGAGAGTAGCCCACCCCTTTTTCTCATCAAGCAGGGGATCAACAGTCTCAAAAACCCCATTCTGAGACTTTAGTAAGAGAAAGAATAAAGTCCGTTTCTAAAAACTTACAGTTGTGAACAGATCAAACAGCAAACGGACAAACATGACTGCTTTCAGCAGCAGATTTCCTCAGACTCGGTGCATAGACCCTGGAGAGGGGAAAAAACGCTCAGAACGGAGAATGCTTGAAATCGGAGGCAGGAGGAAACGACTGGTTAACGCTGGATAGACTGACAGTCATCCCATCCCAAAAGGGTCTCTCCCAACCAAACCTACTGAAGGCAAGCATGCGCAGTTGGAAAAAGCTCCCCATAGTTCCGCCGCCCACCTGCTGCTTAGATGGCATCTCTCTGCCAGCTTTGTGGGCAACACACACCTGACCTTGTTTCTTCTTGCTCTCCCCACCTCCCTTCCCTTCCAGTACTGCGTGTGCATCGACGACTGCTCCTCCAGTAAATGCATGTGCGGACAGCTCAGTATGCGGTGCTGGTACGACAAGGTGAGGCCCTTCCGTGATTGGTGGGTTTGAGGCATGAGGCGGGTGGCTGGGAGTGACTTGGCGGCAGCTGATGATGATGATCATCATCATCATCATCGGGGTAGACCAAATTTCACAAACCTGTTTCCCTGTTCTGGGCGTTGGGGTCCATGTAATCAATTATAGATATCGTCACTGGTTGCCATAATTCCCCCTATTTTGGTGATAATTAAACCTCAAAGATAATGTAACTGAGAACAAAGTTACTTTACTGGTGTAATAGGTGACATAGTTACTAGACATTCCATGGCATTCTTTTTTCAGTTTGAATGCTTTTTGTTTTTTTGTGAAGGGACAGGCAACTCTTAAGCGCAAGAGATTTGGCTTTCTCATCATTAGGAATGTAGGCCAGCTGCCTTGTGCTGAATCAGTTCTTGGTCCATCTTGACCAATATTGCCAGCTCTAGCCGGCAGGGACAGCTGTCCAAGGCTTTGGACAGGATTGAACCCTGAGCAGCCAGTGCTTCTGGGAACAACAACTCACACACACGGTGCCAAGTATGTGGACCGAATTACGCCTGTAATGTAACTTTCTACGTCTGGAAACCATCACCTCTTAACAGGGGTTCTTCCCAACCTTGAGCCTCAAGATGTTCTTGGACTACAACTCCCAAAAGCCTTCTCCACTGGCTCTGCTGGCCAGGATTTCTGGGAATCGGAGTCCAAGAACATCTGGGGACCCAAGATTGGAAGAAGAAGGGTAAGAAAGACCTGGATGAACAGATTGTTTGAGCAGATCTAAAGCAGCTGCTTCTGCACCTGACCTCAGACTCTTCTCCCCTTCAGAAGCAAATGGCTTTGCTGGACCAGATGTAACCTTTTTACCTTGGAGGTGTGACCCACAACGTGGGGGGGGGGACACTTGCTTTGATTTTTCTTGAAAAAAATATGTAGAGCACTCTGTCACAAGCATATGCAGCTAATCCTTCCTTCCTCCCTCCCTTTCTTTTTTCTCTCTGCAGGATGGACGGCTCTTGCCGGAGTTCAACACAGTGGAGCCCCCGTTGATCTTTGAGTGTAACCACGCCTGCTCCTGTTGGAGGACTTGCCGGAACCGCGTGGTGCAAAACGGCCTCCGGTGAGACCCGTTGAGTGTCCTTTCTTGCAATCCTGTTTGCTCAAGAGGGCCAGTGAGAGGCATGGAGGTTGTGGAGGTGGGTGGGTGTGTTGTGATGAGGACGAGGGGGGGCAGAGCTGTCATGGCTCGCTCTGGAGGCCCTCTGGCTGTCTCATACTGCAGCCTACCTTTTAGGGGTGTTGTGCAGATTCAAGAGTAGGGAGGGAACAAACCCTATACACTGGGTTGTGCAGATTCAAGAGTAGGGAGGGAACGAACCCTATACACCGGTGCTGGCCAGGATTTCTGAGCATTGTAGCCCAAGAGGATCTGGGGGGACAAGGTGGTGAAGCCCTGGTGTACCCTCTTAGGGGCTGGAAGGGGTACATGAGTGTGGGTTACGTGCCACCTGTCCCGGTCCGCCTGCTGGACCGGCCGCCTGGTTCCCTAAAGCCCCTCCTGGCGCGGTGACACCATATCTCCACGGCCTCCTTTTTTCAAAGGGCCCAGGTCTGCCCCAATGAAGAAGGCACACACGGGTGTTAAGAAAAGAGGCTTCCCCCCCCCCTTTTGCCTTCTCTTGACCGGCCAGGATTTCTGGGCATTGTAGCCCAAGAGGATCTAGGGGGCCAAGGTGGGGAAGCCCTGGTATACCCTCTTAGGGGCTGGAAGGGGTACACCGGGGGCCATGAGTGTGGGTTGCGTGCCACCTGTCCCGGTCTGCCTGCTGGACCGGCTGCCTGGTTCCCTAAAGCCCCTTCTGGCGTGGTGACGCCATATCTCCATGGCCTCCTCTTTTCAAAGGGCCCAGGTCTGCCCCTTTTGCCTTCTCTTGACCAGCCGTGGGAAAGGCCAACACGCTGCCTTTGAAATGAAACGGGCCCCGTCCATGCTTCTTGCCGGGCCCTGACGGGGCAGCGGCCCTTCCTCCTGTCTTCCAGGGTTCGGTTGCAGCTTTTTCGGACGCAGACCATGGGCTGGGGCGTGCGGACGATGCAGGACATTCCGTTGGGGACCTTCGTGTGCGAGTGAGTTCCTCCTGCTTCAAAACTGCCGACCGGGAGCCCCGTGTGGGGAGGAAAGAGGGACCCCCGCCCGGCAAACGTTTGTAGGCAAAGTCCCAGTTATTGGACTGAAGAGACCCACAAGGCACCTGAGACCAGAGCCAAACAGGACGTAGATGGAGAGCCTGCGGGATCGATCCGCCGGCTGGGCTTTCTCCAGGGGACCATTAAAAAAAGAAAAAAGGTTAGGCTGCATTCATCCAGCCTCCGACTCTGCCAAGGATGTGGGGCAGGTCTCCCAGTGAACGCGAGAGCTTGTCTAGGTAGGCTGTAGCCTTTTGTTGTGTGGTGGTGGGGCTGATGACCCCCCTTCCTCTCTTCCTTCTGGTTCGCCCCCAACAACTTGTAGCCCTAGCCTTCCAGCGATGGGTGGCAAGACCTTCCATGCAGTCTTTCCCTGAAGGACCTGGTCTTCCTCTGGCAGCAGGTTTGGCAGGAGAAAGTGGGGGAGACAGAGAGAGAGAGAGAGAGAGAGAGAGAGAGAGGATTTAGATAGAGGTATGTGCATGCATAGAGAGAGAGAAGGGGGAGGGTTTGTACGTGTGTGTGTGTGTGTGTGTGTGTGTTTGTATACGTTATACATAATGCAGAGAGACACACAGAGGAGGATTTAGATAATTAGAGAGAGAGGGAGAGAGAAAAGGGGTGACAGAAGTATACAAAGGGTACCCAAGGGAGGGTGACCTAGAAGTCACAGACAGGAAGGACGAGGAAGAGGGACAGGCGAGAGAGAAAACCTTTGGCTGGAATCCTCCCAGAGGGTGTTTTGGCTCACGGGGTAAGACTGAACCTGGACTTCCAAAACTCCAGGGCAAGGCTCTGACCACTGCACGGCACTGCTAAAGGGAGTCTCCGTTCCCTTCTGCCCCACTTACGGGCATCCGCAAAGTGGCCTGGCTTTCGAACTGGGGGCAAAGAAGAGAGAGCCAGTCTGTCCTAAAAACACAGGGTGGCTGTTCCTTTTCTTCGTGTCCTTCTAAACTTTGCATGCTGACTCCCTCCCCCACCGGCCGCCCTGTATTTTCTGAAGTGCTTCCGCCCATTTCTCGAGAACAAGATCTGCCGGATTAGGAGTTGGCTCCTTTTCATTGGGAGAACGTGTCGGCTGCTGCAAACCCTTCGCGGAGCTGTTGTTTCTTTAGCCCTTTCAGGCAGAGCCGGAGGTTAATGGAGTCTGTGCTTTGAACTGGCAGGCGTCTGACAACGATCCGTCCTCGGCCCTCCTGCCCTTCGTCTCGGCGCAAGGGTGGCATTGGCTTAGCGACTAATCTCTTGCCCCCCGCCCCCCTTTTTGGCATCCTAATCTTCTGCCCGGCCTCAAAGGCAGGATTCTAGTCCAGCGGGAGGAGAAGCCGAGTGTCTTCTCGACAAGTAACCCAGCAAACAAGCTGCTGTATTTCGGGAGCACAAAGGGCTTGTTAGTTCAGGCGGGTGAGGCTGCGGAAAAACAAAAAATGAAGTTACTTATGTCTTTAACCTGCGAGCGGAGTAAAAGTCCTTGCCGTGACCAGTCTGAGTTCTGGGTGGGGCAAAGGAGAGGAATCCCCTTTATTCCTCCCTATCCTGTGGGGATCCGAGGTTTCTTTTCACCTTTTCCCTGGGAGTCAGGAGAGGCTGAAAAAAACATGCAAACAAAACCACTCCAGGCCAGCAAGCGTGATTCCTTCTAAGAAACGGGAGCTGGATTCCGGAGAGGATCCAGATTCCTAGAAGTCCCATTTCAGAGTTGAAAAGCTGAAGACGAGAACTTTTCAAGAATGACAGGCAGCATCCTAATATGGGCGGTGTCAAGCACCTTGCCCAACAAAGGCCTTTTATAGCCAGATGTGAAATAGGTTTTGCTTAGATTTCCAGGACGGCTGGGCGACCAGTATTGAATTTTTGTCTGGAAGCTGCAGGAACCCTCCATCTCTAAAATGCCGTTGCCGGCAGCTTAAAACGACACTGTGGTGGCCAGTGAAAGGATCATCGCCCTCATGCCTTCCGGCTCTGCAGTTCTAAGATCATCATCATCATCATCTTAGAACTGCAAAGCCGGAACAGACATGAGATTTATTTGTTTTCTGCATGTTGTTTTATCCTGCCAAAAAGCAGGGATGGGACAACGAAAACTCTCTCTCTCTCTCTCTCTCTCTCTGTGTGTGTGTGTGTGTGTGTGTGTGTGTGTGTGTGTGTGTGTGTGTGTGTGTGTGTGTGTGTGTGTGTGAGACAGAGAGAGAGAGAGAGAGAGGAGACGCACCTTCCAAACAAGGTCCAGCCAGGAGGCAGCCCAAGAGACCAAGACTGACGTAGGCCACTGGAGACATCTTCTTAGTGCTTCAGCTCTTGGGACAGAGAAGGAGCCCGAGAGAGAGAGAGAGAGGACGGGATGTGGAATCTGGCTTCTGTGTGGGAGAACCAAAAACACCAACACGTTCCTCCAGGGATTTTTCCTCTTGATCTTAACAGGAACGATGATTGGGGGGGAAAACTACAGTGGTGCCTCGCTTGACGACATTAATTGTTTCCAGTGAAATCGCTGTAGAGCTAAAATGTCGTCAAGCGAAATAAAAAAGCCCATTGAAACAGATTGAAAACTGTTCAGTGCGTTCCAGTGGACTGAATATCTGCTTGTCCAGCAAAGATCCTCCATACGGCGGCCATTTTCGGGTGCCTGTTAAGCGAAAAATGGCTCCTAAAAACTGCGGGGAGCCATTTTGAGCAGCCAGCGGCCATTTTCAAAACCCAGCAATCAGCTGTTTTGATTGTCGTAATGCGAAGAATCTGTTCCCGAAGCACGGAACTGATCGTTGCAAAGTGAAAAAAAACCATTAAAACATTGTTTTGCGATCGCAGTTGCCATCGCAAAAACATTGTTGTGAAGCGGATTCGTCGTTATACGGGGTAATCGTTACGCGGGGCACGACTGTAATGTGCGTTACCCAAAACCGTGATAAACCCTGCTTAGTTACAGTGGGTGTCTCAGAACAAGAGGCGTGGGATAGCTGTCCTTTTAGGAGTCCTTTTCAACGTGCATCTGGTCCTTCTGGGCATCAGCTTCGTTGCTCCAACGGGTAGGAAAGGCCCCCGTTTGGGTGTGCAGAGTCAGGCTGCAAGTCTTCCTTTGGTTGTGAGGACAGCGCTCGGGCAGCTTGTCCTTCAGCACTGAGGACCACCGCAGAGCAGTGCTAAATAGAGCGTAGCCCCCGCTGAGAAACTAAAGCCGACGGGCTCTAACTTCTTGAGGAATCGTTCTTTCCGAGAGAAGGGCCCAAGGGCCGGTCCTTGAAGTCTATGTGAGCCACAGATATTCTCCCTGAGATTTCCTGCGTAGAAGGGCCAGATTTGATTGCACTCTAGAACACCGGGGGGTGGGGGGTGCTGCAACCTTTGAACCGCTGGAGGCAGCCCATAACTCTTGCCCGGCAGCTCAGGGGGGGCCTTCTGCGGTCTGCAAGCCCTACAGATCAGGAGATGCAAAGAGGGGAGGAAGCTGTTTGTGGTTCTTGAAGAGGAGAAGCTCTCGGGCTTTCTAAGTGTGCCTCTGAATCTGTGTTGGGGAGAGAGCCCCTCACCCACCATCCTCCTAGCTAGCCCTTGGGATCAATACGAGGAAAGAGCGGCCCGCTGGAGGCTTTGGACGGAACCGGTGGGTGGCCTTCCAGGGGCTTTTCGAAACACTCCTACCTGGGGAGTCATCTTCGCCGTTCGGACAGCGAAGCCACGGGCTTGAGAGGGCAAGAGCCGAAGGGATCTCTGGAGGGTCGCCTGTTCATAGCGTCCCCGTAAACTGGGATCAACTTGACGGCACATTGTCACGACAGAGTGGACTGCGGAGAGTGCAGAGTGATAACCCTGGAAGGGCCTTTCCTCCGTTCTCCTTGCCTCTTACCTCCCTTTCTGCTTCCCTCTCGGTCCTCAGGTATGTCGGAGAGCTGATTTCGGATGCCGAGGCCAACGTACGGGAAGAAGATTGTTACCTTTTCGACCTTGGCAACAAGGTAAGTGTTTTAATAAAGCCTCATAATCACAATTGGAAAACTCCCCGGGCAAACTGAAGTGCTAAAATGAATTTCCGTCCCTTCCTGGCGGCTGGTGCGATCAAAAGCTCTTCTCACCTTGAGGAGAAAGCAGCCCCTCGGTGGGAGGCAGCTGAGCAGGCTTGGCAATATCTGTGTCTCTCTCGGAGACCATTGGGGGGGCAACCCCTGAGCCAGAAGGAGGAGGGAGGGAGAGCGAGACCAAGTTCTCATTCCTGGCGTTTTGTTTCCCCAGACTGCAAATAACGATGCATGTCTTACAAAAATGGGTGGGTTGCAATGCTCTGTTTTCTGTTGAATTCTGGACTGTAGTTCCTGTTTCAAGTCAGCTTACAATTTTAGCTGTTTTGAGAATAAACCAAAAGAGAAACTAAAGCACAAGGAAATCAACAAATACAAGTAGGTCTAGGATTGCTGGATCGCTCCAGGGGTCGAGGTCTCTGGCTGTGGAGCCAGAAGTTGGGAGTTCGATTCCCTCCCCCCCCACGGGGCCTCCTGGGCGGGGAGGGGTGGCGGGCTCCCTGATCCTTAGGGGGGGGTCCCTTCCAGCTCCGCTGTTCTGACATTATTATAAACCATTCAAACAGAACTGGCAATGCAACTTCAGACTGTAGGATCTCAACTGCAAAAGATACTTTCAGATTTCTGTTCTGTTTTCTTCCAAGTGGCTATGGATGCCTTTCCTTGACCCCCTCAAAAAAAAGGCACACAAGTTAAATGAAAAGGACAGCAACAAAAGTGTTGCAGTGCACATTCATCCTGTTCAGATTTCCAGGCCGCCAGGCCTGCCCTTGTCCTGGACATGCCCTTTCCATTCTGCTCCAGATGGATTTCCACACTTAACCCTCCATGGTTAGATAGTACGGTGCGTTCTTGAGTTTCCACAGTCCTTGCAGGTTTGGAAGGTTTTCCTGCCGCTCCAGACGCGCCACCCTTTTTCCTGCCCTTCTAGAAATCTTGGGTGTTCTCCCCAGCTGGCTGAATAAGTTCCTCCTTTGCACAGTTGGGGCCCCCTTTGGCCACGTAAGAGTTTAGAAGCAGAATCATGCTGACTCTGGATTGAGTTGCATTGTGGGGAGGAGGTCCGCACACTGTTCGCATTACGTGGCTCAAGGGGTTGCAATAACTCCAGATGTTTTTTGAGGCTGACGAAGCGCTGTGCTGTTCCCCTCCACCTCCTTCGCAGGACAGGGACGTCTACTGCATCGATGCCCGTTTCTATGGCAACATCAGCCGCTTCATCAACCATTTCTGCGAGCCGAACCTCATCGCCGTGCGAGTCTTCATGTCCCACCAGGACCTCCGCTTCCCCAGAATTGCTTTCTTCAGTAGCAGGAACATCCAGACGGGAGAAGAGATCGGGTAAGAGATCGGCTGGGAAGTAAGGAGTGGGCAGAGAAAAAATCAGAGGAAGAGGGCACTGCAAGGCGCGGATCGGCCCCTTTCCTTTTTTTAGAGCCCGGCCAGAGCCTTCTTCCAAAGGTCCTCTCGTGAAGCAAACCAGGCCGGTCAGATTAGAAACACGTTCTGGTTTGAAACAGAATGTGTTGTAGATTATTCAGATACTCTTGATGTTGCTCCTGGCTAGGAATAAGTCCGGTACTTCTCATGAAAGGGGTTGTTTCGTTCGATGCGGGAACCCCCTTAAGTGTTAAGGGAGGTGCTGGCAGACTTTTGCACCCTTGCAATCAAAGCCCATTTCGCCTCTCCAAAGCCAGTCGCAAAACCAAGCCAAGGAGTGGGGGGGGTGTCTGTGAAGGGCTTGTTCTGCTTCATGCCTTGTCCCATCAGGCCCCTCCCTTTCTCCCCTTAAGGAATCCCCTCTTCGAGGGGTGTCTCTGACCCCCTTGTGTCTAGTTGGGGTCGGGGTGTTGCCCTAAGGCCGAGCTTCCTAGACCTGGGTTCCACCCAGAGGTTCTTGGACTACAACTCCCAGCACAGCGGGCAGTGAAGGCTTCTGGGAGTTGTAGCCCAAGAACCTCTGGGGGGGGACCCAAGGTGAGGAAGACCTGGGTTCAAATCCCCACTCAACCATCAAACCCGTAGGCGCCCTTGACCCAAGGTGAGGAAGACCTGGGTTCAAATTCCCCACTCAACCATCAAAGCCGTAGGTGACCTTCCGCTGGAGCGTGACTTCCTTGGAGAGTTGTCGTGAGGGCAGAGAAGAGAGGGAGACCGGCCACATCCACCACCACCTTGATGTCACCAGGTGGAAATGGGGATAGAGATGTAAACAATAAAGACAGAGAAATAAATGGCAGCCCAGGAAGCACATACAAAGAGGAATACGGTGCTCAGTAATGGGCGTAGGAGTCGCTCTCCATTAGGGGATTGGCCGAAATTATGGCTCTGGACCAGCGCTTGGGTCCCCCCCCCCCAGGGGCTCCTGGACTGCAGCTGCCAGAGATCCTGTCTAGCACAGCGGGCAGTGAAGGCTTTCTGGGAGTTGTAGTCCAAGAACCTCTGGGGCCCCAAGGCAGGGTTGGGAAAACCTTCTGTAGCCTGTAGTAGCACGGATGAACACCGTGACTCAAAAGTTTAAGGAATCATCCCTGGAGCTTGTGGCTGATTCCTTTCCCTCTGGCTCCCTTTTGTGGAGTCTCCACCTCGCCTTTGTGGGCTGTCCCTTTCCTCTTCTCTGGCGACCCCCAGGGAACGAGGCGCCCCACGGAGACCTTTCTGGGTATTAAGCGCCGACTGAGACGAGCTGCTTCCCTCGTCTTCCGCTTGTCTTCCGCTTCTGCATGTTTTTGAACAGCCCCGTTCTGAAGTCATCTTATTTTGTGTTGTCCTGTTGGAATCTGCATGTTTTGGACACTCATAAAGCGGATAGTCCATCGTGCTCATCTTCGTCATCAAAATGCAGTGTCTCCTTTTGCCTGCCGATTCAAGAGTGGCTCCCTTGGATCCCCCCAGCAAACTCTCTCTCTCTCTCTTTCGGTCTGTCTCTCTCAGGTTTGATTACGGTGAGCGGTTCTGGAGCATCAAGGGCAAGTACTTCAGCTGCCTCTGTGGGTCCCCGAAGTGCAGGCACTCCAGCGCCGCCCTGACCCGCCGGCTGGCAAGCCCGGCCTCCTCCCAGGAGGCCCCAGAGAACAGACTTCCCGACAC